AATAGCTGTCTGTGCTCTCTCGGTAGATAAAAGTAAAGTTTTGCCCACTCCGCTATTATAACTCTGCTATTAGTTACATAGTTCATTTATTTTGCTGGATTGCTGTTATTTGGTCGTTGCGTTGATTAGGATTAGATCAGATCAGTTAGTCAATCGTCTTTGCTTTTTTACCCGACTACGGCGACGAAGCGAAAGGGAGGGTTATGATTTTGGCCGGTATGTATGTAAGAATGTTCTCAGTCAATCTATTCCCTTATAATTTCGAAATTACTCATTGTAACTGGACAAATGAGGTTGCATTAGAAGCATCTTAGTTGTCAGCTTGCTATATAGACTGTGTGACGTTATCTTCTAGAGAGCATAAAGTAAGAAACTAAAAAAAAATATTGTTCAATCATTCCGTGTAGGGTATCAAATGAAAGGGCTTAATTAGCACATTTGCAATATATACAGGGAAGAACAAAATTACCGACACAGCCGAAAGTTTCAAGTTAGGTTACATGCAAACGTTCATTTTATTTGACAAATATTTAAAAATAGAGGAGGTGTAAAAATGGAGTAAACATTTTAAATTTCTAAGTGTTGACAGCCCTTTAACGCGCATGCGCCATATCGATTGTGCGCAGATTACAACGGACCGCGAAATACATAATTTTAATTTAATTATTTACCGATATCTTAATGATAGTCGATGCTGAAAATGTTCAATTCTTCTCTGAAGACCGCTAAGCACGCTCTTTTCCATGCCAGTGTATACACGCGCAAAACACATCACATTTCACACAAAACTAAACACAATCTTCACTAAACTAAACTTAACACTCAAGACGAACACTCTAGTATCTTATTAACAAAAATTCAATTAAAAATGCACTAGAACAAAACAAAAATCGACAAAAAAAGACGCTTCGCAGCGGTGCGTCGGCGGCGATGCGCAACAACACTCCAGCGCAAAAGGTCGGCGGCGACTGAGCGGCCAGAAAATACCGACAGAATAATGAAGCCGCCTGGCGGCTGGCTGGTGGGTGGGGCTTTGATATCGAGGGACGAACTCGGTTCACATTTTTTTATTCGTCTTTTGATATCACGCATTTTTTAATGTTCTTTTTAAATGCTATTTTAATAACAAATTCCTCAATGTTTTTAAAACAAAGTTCATTTGTGTTAATGATGAATCGCTGGAAGATTTGTGAGTTTATCGAGTTTAATTAACAATCCCGTTATTAAAGGAGTATTACCCCATTCAAACAATTTTTTTGGAGAACTGCTCTTTTAAAATAACGTAGGTTAATGTTAGAATGATCTCTCTACAATAATTTAGGAAATTTTACACTCGGTTTCTTAATTGAGAATTTAAAGTTAAACGTCTCGAACTAACATCACTTAGTTTTCGTTTCCGATTTTAGTTTTTTGATGATCAGTTGATAGCAGTTTGATAAAACTAGGACTATTTGACTTGTGAAATTTAAAAAAAACTTAGGTTATTGAGTATAAGCAGTAGAAATGTTTTTACTTTCAAATCAAAAACCGGCTGTTAGTCTGTAAATCGATTAAAGCATTAAGACTGCGTTGTTTATTGATTGTCTGGTAGAATTTGCATGAATGCATTCTTATAAATCACAAACTAGTTTATTTCGTTTTTAGAAATGAAAAAGTCAATGACCGATTAAAACTTTTCCTTAGTACGTCCCAAAAACAGCTGACTCAGGGTTGAAAACACTCATTTTTTTCAAAAACTTTGTATTTTAATATCTCCGAAACTATTTGACCTAGACTTATAATTTTTTTTTACATCATATTAAAGACAAATAGTACTCTCTAGAAACCTCGGGAGTGTCGGTCGTTCTGTTCCACCGAGTATAACGGCTAGTAGTCAGAACAGGCTATTACGAAGCCCAAATAGATCGTCCATATCAGAGGACTATCTTTAAAATAACACTGCAGGCGTGTATAACAACGTGGATTTATTCCATTTTATCACTTTTCAAACAAAAAATATATGCTAATTAAGATGAGCGTGATGTCGTCGGATGTCTTTACTCCTCGGCGACCGGAAACAGAATGTGTGCCAAAAATGGCGGCAATTAGCTTTTGTTGACGAACTGTCAAAGTCAATGTCACAATTCTAATAAAATTAGAAGTATCGATGATCACGCTCTCTCTACAATCGAGTAATTAAGTAATCGAGTAACTAGCAATTTAAAAAAAGTAACTAAATCAAGCAGACTAAATTATTTGATTAAGGCTGGAGTTCACCGACAGTCGGTTAAACATTGATTAAGAAATCGTCCGATAAAATTGTAATCGTTGTTTAAACAGCAATTAAAATGTTCACCAGGTAAATTTAAATTACGATTACAAATCGGCCAATTATCTATCTTTTAGAACGAATGGTGATACACTAATCAGTTGCGTAGGTAGTTCTGCCGTATTCATACGACACGTTTATATAGACACTTACCTAAATGTAACAGCATATTAAAAATACTAACAAACTTTAAGAGTACGGCTAACTTAACAGGAACGATAGAAATCAATATATTTTAACTTTGGGCAACAAATATTTAAATAATCTTCTATCATAATAGTCTTCTAACTGGATTTAAATCTGTTCTTGTTCCATTATTTACTGAGCGTTGTTGTCTTATTATTCCTTGATCTATTATATCTTCCCATGGCGCTGGCAAGTCTACCGTTTGATCATAAGATGGTATTTCATCACCTCTCGTTTGCAATATATTTATATTATATAAAACTGCAGCAGCCACTATGATAAGTATATTCATCCAGGCTTTCAAGCAGTTCTAGATCCCAATACTCTTGGTATCTAACTATCTAGAATTTTAAATACTGACAGCATTTAAATTTTATTTATTTGATAAGTAGTTATAAACACAGAGCAAAAGACGTCAAATAATGACTTAAGTCAATATAATCAATGTTTAAACGGGGTTTAAACATAACGCTCTAAATCAGATAAAAAGTTAGAGACAATAAATTCTCGAGCACCTGAGATGGTTGAATTGTTAAAGTTTTTTTAAAAGAATCTATTTTTGCGTGAAAGAGTGTATTCCCAAAGGGGTCCCATAAAAATATCACGATGTTGGACTCGGTAGTCTTTTAGCCCCACAAAAATGTAATTCACGTAATTTGGTTGTTAATCGAATAAGTTAGAAAAAACAGACGGTTAACAAATAAAAAAATACTCTTTTTGTAGCTAACAGTCAACAGCAAGTCAGGTTACATAAACGACGACGACGAAATCTTAATTTGTTTGTAGTACAAAGTACAAAACAGAATAACGCAGCTTCATTTTGGAACAAGTCGAATCCTTAAGTGGTTAAGCGGTTTATTATATTTATGCAAATGTCTATGTATATTTATTATTATAATACATTAATATTATTTATGTATTCTTGTTATGTATATAATATTCATGTTTTAGATATTTGTGTTACCTTCTTCTTTTTAAATTGTTTTTGGTTGCGCACCTTACCACTTGTATCTTCACATCACCCCAAGGTTGACTGGTAGAGAATGCCTCAGGCATTAAATCTGCCTATGTATTATACTTGTTCATGAAGAATAAATAAAAAATATTAAAACTCATAATTTCGTTAACTTCGTCATTAGGTTATTTATTTCTGTGAATATTTTTTTAACTGATAAGAACTTCTACATTATAGTTTAGTCCCGTTTAAAGCATAACAAAGCTTCAAAATAATAACTTTAGTTTGGACAGAGTCCATTCTTTCCAGAGTATATAAAGAAACATTATGAACACTGATTAGCAATGATACATTCACCCAGTGCAATATATTTCTCAGTATCGTACGAACACATCATCCTGCATTCATTAAGAGACCGTAATAGAACAAATATATTTCTGAAATGCCAACTACTGAATGGCTATCTAGAAGTTGATTGTGTTAATCGCGAAAGAGAATAGATTTCCTAGTAATTTTCGTACCACTACAATAAAGATTTAACCGAACGGAAAAACGAATCTGTTTGGGTTAAACTTATTATTTCACTGGTAACACAACCTTTGTCAAGTGTATGAGAAATTTACCGAATGACGGATTCGCTTTCTAAAGCAATAAAACTGATGAGATTAGAAACCTTAATGGTAGCCGACTCAAACAGATTTACATATAACTAAATCGTATCGAGTAATACAGATATAAAATCAAAGCATTTAAGATATACCGAGGGTATGTCTTATTGAATAAAGTTCAATAAACGAGGATCCATTTCAAGGTTTTTTGGACAAGGACTTTAATCAACTTTGCTGGAATATTCCCTCACCCGTGTTGAGTCGAGTTGAGTCGTATCATTGTTTATCCTAATATTAATACTTTGCATTTTATCCAACTTTTCCTGGTCCTGGTATGTCTTATTTTAGCGGAGATAAACTTTTCAAAGTTACCTTGAAATATATACAGAATGATGAGATGAAAACCAAGTTATTTGCATAAAGACCTTTATTCATACAATGCAAAATACACTAAAACAAATAACGGTAAATGGACTCAGTGCTCTAGAAGCACAACAAAACAACAAAACAGTAGAATGATTTCCTAGGAAAACATGCTTTGAAAATATACTAACAAAGTAGGTAACAATGTTTAATTAGTAGAGTATAAACAACCGCTTTTCTCTACTCATATTTTAATATTGAGAGAAAAACTTAATTACTTATAAGGAACAGTACACGTTTTAATCGACTATTAATAAACCTTTATTTTTTAATCCATAGAAATGACCTGATAATGATGATGATTTGATTAACGTGTTCTTTAAAACTTTCAATTCAAATGTGAAGTAATTAATGAACTTCATTAGATTATTTATCAAAAGCGTTACTTTTTAATAAATAAATAAATTCATTCATAACTCATGATGGATGCCAGATGGCCATTTGAGGCACAGTAACACTGTAATGATGCCGTCAAAGTTAGTATGAATGTTTGAAAGAAGTTAACGATTTATTTATTTTTTTAAGTTAAAGTAAGCATTTGCGAGTGCTGCGTGATATGCATGCGCTCATGTCGCGCAGCGGGCTCTGTACGCGAGCGCATCTTACACCGTAACAACTGAAGCGTATTCTCCCAGAGCTTGGTCTGTTCTTCTACGGCACCTTGGCGAGCACTTATCGTCCGTTGTTCCTAGAAATAAGATATACGAACAGTTAATTATTTAACTATAAATAATAGTCATTTATTCTGTCAACACATTAATAAGAAATAATATTGCTAATTACATTTACGAACTCTATGACATTTTAATCGTTTATATATTTTTGACTTTCAGTAAGACTATGTAGACATTAAATATAGTTCATAAAAAATTATTTAGGGCGATACTAAAACACCAATTGAATGTTGCTTAATGATTTTAAAAAAACTGTCTGTTCTTTATATATATGTAAGTACACGCTTAACTCTGAAACTATTGATTGCATCTTAAAGATTCTTCTATTTTGAAGCTATTATTCCTGGTCACCATATAAGGTATAATATGTTTTTGTTGGCTGGTCTCCATCACGTGAAACCCTAAGAGATCAATAAAAAAGTTAAAGATACAGAAATGGCACCATAGCAAAAATTGTTCCACCCTATAAGCATATTCTGCTACGTGGTTAAAATTTTGCAGATTTGACACATCCGATGTGGAACTGCAAGAGTCCGCTGCACCTTGCCATATACGGAAACGATGTCTTTACAGATGTTATTCAAAGTAATGAGCATTATCTGTTAACTTATAAAACTCGAAGATCTGAAGCTGTGATGTGAAACTCCAGTAGACCATTAACATTATGACGTATACGGGACTGAGGTCTTAGTAAAAGTTTTTTAGTTCGATTAGTATTTCCTTATGCGCGATTAAAATTCGAAGATTTAGAATATCTCTTTGAGCTCGGCATCTCTATAACATTTAAAGATGGAAGTAATTTGTTTTTTTTCGTCATTTTTTTGCAATATTGTAGGTGTTTTGTAGTCTCCCATATCGCCTAATCGCTTAATATATGGGAAAGGTGTAACAAAATCTATCAGAAGACATTTATGCACTTTGAGGAACAATGTGAAGGATCACTCACTGCAACCAATGACAGAGTGTTAAATAGTCCACTTTGTTCTATAAAAGAAACTGTTTTTATGTTTGGTGACAAATCTTTCGGTGATTACGGTCTACCTCAATCAGTCCACTCGGTCCACATCGTGTGTAAAGATGTAGTAAAGTTGTTTTTCTTAGATGCTTCGGGGGGCACTTAACAAACATATATTACAAGAGCAATTCTGGCTGAAATTAGGTAACAGAATAAGATCGCTCTCGCAGTAGCATCTTCAGGGGTTGCTGTTAAATTGCTTTCCGGTGGTGAGACGGCACACACAATATTCAAAATTCAACAGAATTTGATTTCGACAGAAATGCAACACCAACCTTTTTTTTGTTTACATAATCAAGTTCAAAATCGGTATTATGCAGAGGAATATTATCGAAGTAGAGTTTTTGACCGGCTGTGAATCTTATTGGTATACGGTATTAGCACAGTTTCACCTGTACTGTACCTGTATATCAATTACTAACAATTTTCCATTTTAATTCAAACGCATCCAGTTGCCTGTGATTACTTGCTTCCTCATGACGATAAATAAGTCATAGGGATAGACACTGAAAGTGATTAGATTTAAAGACTGGTTGTTTTTCTCCCGGAGAGCTGTACGTAGAATTTTCGCAAGTTAATAGTGGTGCGAGTTTATTTCCCTGAAGAAAGAAACAACCAATATTGTGTACAAAGAGATTCTGTGAATATTAAGTAATCGGTTAACTATTTCATAAAACCCACGCGGACGAAATCGCTGGCACCAGCTTATGATTCCTGTAGATGAAAGATTTTTTAAAATCGGTCCAGTAGTTTGTATCGTACTCGATGCAAACAAACAAACAAAATATTCTTTCCTCTATAATATTAGGTATTTACATATAAAATTGGTGTTTGGTATGGAAAAGAAAGACAAAGAACAAAGAGTCTGACTATTTTTTAATATAATATATTCATTTAGTCAGAGTAGAAACCATTGTTATCTATGCACTTTTGTCATCTCATATGTAATTAATTGATCCCCTTACTAAACAAAACATTCGGATGGGAATCAATTAAATCTTTGAAGGTGATTTGCATTGCCCTATCGGAGTTGAATTTTACCCTTGCAAGAAGTAATGCAAATTTCTAAAAAAAATGGTCATCTATTGGAGCAAAGTCCGGTACTCCACGATCGATGTCTTAGACATTCCAATTGAAGCTCTTCTAAGTTGGTAGCCGTCTGTTGTGCAGTGTGTGGTCTAGCGTTGTCGTGAAGTCACAACGGCGTAGATTGATTGACCAGCCTCTGTTGTTTAACAGCTAGGTTTGCAATTGCTGACAATACACGTCTGCCGTAATCGTCTGGCCAGATTTGATAAAACTATAATGAACGACACCGTCACTAGTCCATCAAACACTTACAAGTAACTTTTTTTAGGGTCAATTTTCGCTTGGGGCAGAATTTGGCTGGCATACCAGGGTCCAACCATTGCGATGAGCGCTTCCAATTATCGTAGAAAATCCACTTTTCATCACAGGTAATGATTCGATTTAAAATGTAACGCAGCAGTCGAAGCGCGTTTGGCGGTTTTCTTCACTCAATCCGTGAGGTACCCACCTTTAAGCTTTTTACTCTTTCCAATTTGCTTCAAATGGATAAAAACAGTTTTATCACTAGCACAGTTTTTTCACAATAGCCTTCATTTCTTCATTATTAGGTTGAAATTTCCAGAACGAAAACGTTGGAACCAAAAACGCACTGTGCTTTCTTTTGCGACACAATCGCCATACACATCATTAACCCTTCGAGCCGTTTCCGCAGCACTGGTACCACGGTGGAACTCGTACTCGTAAATAACACGATACTTCAAGTTTTCAATTTTTTATACTGGGTGACGTAAATAGGACAAACAGAAGAAAAAAAAACAAATATATGCCGCCTAACGAAACACAAATGGCTGTATAAATTTGATTTGGAATTCCCAACCAAGAAGCAGAAATTTGTGATTAAAGGTGCCAGTACGACAAAACGCCAATTTCATATGTAGGGACCTAATATTAGTATAGATTAACTTTCCGCACTATTTCTTAATTATTCTTCTTTTAAATTCATCATCCTCATTTGGTAACCTATAATTTGGTAAGATATGTTTATTTGTATAATTATGTATGTATCTATATGTATATATTTATTTAAATATGTATTTTATTATGTATATTTGAAGTTTATGTTAATTTATGTTAAGGATATTATAATGAAGTAAGATGTAAATATTTGTCTAATACAGCTGATGTTTTCGCACCGCCTCATATATTATCTGTATACAACTCTACGGTTGACTGGTAGAGAATGCCTAATGGCATTAAGTCTGCCATTTATACTGTGTGCAAAAAAGTTTAAATAAATTATATTGAGTATTATAATGCCAAATATCATACTTCTGCCTTCATCTGCTCCAGAACTATATAATAAACTTTGTACTTATTTTATAATGTAGAATTAATCAGAAAAATTATTAATCAGATAATTTACCTCTTCCAAGTCTTTAATAGTACGTTCCATATCAGCCACTTGTGCTTTTAATGTCTCCATTTTCGAAGGCTTCCGTGGCGACACCATAGAATTTTTCATTTCAAACATAACAACCTCTTGCAAACTCTCCGCTTTTGTGATTTTATGTCTCAAAGTCTTCCATTCGCTCTCTTTACTGTTCAACTGCTCTGTCAGATCTTTGACTTGATTTTTTATTGGCTCCATCTGTGACGTTATATTTATAGAGGTGGCCTCGTACACTCTTTTCTTTTGTTCATACTGCTGCTGAATAGTTTGAAACTCCTCCTTTATTGGTTTGATTTTGTCTGCTAGAGGTTGAATTTCTTGACGTACTTGCGAAAGCTTTTGCGCTGTTTGCGCCACCAGCTGTAACATTAGGAAGTAATCCTAGTAGCAATTTATAAGGTGGTTGATTTAATACCCAACGATGAGGGAGTTTGAATTACTACTAGACAAGACAGACAATAATATAAAAACAATCGTTTTGAATTAAGTTAGTCTTGAGATTAAGTGACATTTATTTATTTATCACAAACATTACAGAAAGGACATTTATTATTTTTGCCAAACTGTAGAGCAGTTTGTTGGCGAAGATTAGCACTCATTTCACAACTAAGATTTAAGATTAAACTACAAGTAAATCAAAATTTACTTTTTACTTATGATGAAAAACTTAAATTGTATATACTATTAGTATTTTCTTGATTCAACATTATTTGTAAGCATGATTTCAATTAATTGAGCAAATACTTAAACCAGTAATTGCCCTAAAAAAATAATTTCACTAAAAATTGTTTGGATTCTAGATTAACAACAGCCCAGACTAATCACCTGTGATAAATCATGCAGAGATTTTTTCGATAAGTCCACAGATTTATTCTGTTCCTTCTCCAGTAATTCGTCGTCATCAACTTTCAATTTTTTATGGTTCACCAGAGCTATTTCGACGGTTGGGTCGGCCGTACTTATAATATCGAGAGTTCTCGCTAAAATGCCCGCTTCAGCCTTGAAAACAGGTGCCAACTTTAGGATTGTTCACAAATTTAAATAAACGACCAACTTCAGTGGACTACTGCAATAAATCATGCGCTCACCTTGAAGGCAGAGAGATTTGCTCGCTGCCTTTTATACACTGTACTCTTAGTTCGTAAAGAATTAACATATTTTTTCAACTCTTCACCTCGCAACACAGTATCCCCAAGCAGTTGTCTTACCTAAATTTAAAGAAGTGTTATATTAGAAGTATGGTAACTATTATAAACTTATTTTTGATGGCTATAATTTGCGCTAGCTGGTCGCAGGAAAAGAGCTAGTATAGCATACTTTTCAACTTATTCTCTAAAATATTGCAAGCTGAATTAGAATTTATTAATAATTCAGGCCTTGAAAAGGATCTTATTGTAACTAAGATATTAGTTACTAATAAATTGTATCAATGTCACTGTCTATCCGTGTAGTGTTATTATCGAGAAATTGGAGCTCACGCGAGGGGATAGTAACAAATTCAATAAGATTCCTAATGCCTTCACAATAGAATCTTTAGCTAAACTAAAAGTACTTCTTCAGTATTGTATGTAAATAAAATCCCACGACATGGGACGCCAGGTTTAAAATTGCAATAACTAACACAATTTAAACATATTATACAATCAAGGAAATAACATCATAATTAACCGATAAATTAACTAAACTCCAAGTGTCTTCGAAGTTATTTAAGGTAATACATCAATCAGGTAATCAACACATGAATGTCGCAATTATTTTATAATTAATTTTACAAATACATTCTTCTTATACCCAAGAGTTATTACTATATACCTTATACATGTTTACATGTGTGCAGTTATTTCATAAAAAAATAACCAATCGATTGAAAGTCGGTGGTTATCTTTTAGGTCCATTAACTCCAAATGATCACTCTATTAATGATAATAAAAAAAAGCATTTTTCTCTCATCTCGAATAATCGCTCGATTAAGTCGACAGTCCAGAGATTCGGTTAAGATAATACGCCTTTTGTGATTGATAGGGAAATGTTTGAATTCTGATAATGAGATTCGATTGAATATTTATATGTAGAGCTTGGATGCTCTCGGATGGTCTTTTCGTCTAAAAATAGCCTACAATGAACCGACTTCTGTAATTTACTGCGTAGCTAAGAAAGGATAACGTATAATTGTCACAAAATTTTAATATAGATGTTAGAACAACTTTCTTGAAAGCAGTATATTCTTCTATATTGGTAGAGATAGAAAATATATCGCTCTTGTCTTGTTTTCCAAAAGGATCTTAATAAAATTTACAATGTAAAGTATCAATAGTACTACGAAATATTAATTTTACTACTGTTGCTATTTATTACATGGTTCCCTTATTTTTGTTTAACGGATGGAACTCGCAAAATTGTTTTGAATGTTCCTATAATTTTATCTAATCAAATAATTATACATAAATATAGGAACATTCAAAACTATAAAGAAAACAATTCAAAATTTGATGCTGAGTGTACGTTATACCACAGACATTAAAATACTAACGTATCGTCTCTATACAGGGAGGAACAAAATGACCGACACAGCCGAAAGTTTCAAGTTAGGTTACATGCAAACGTTCATTTTATTTGACAAATATTTAAAAATTGAGGAGGTGTAAAAATGGAGTAAACATTTTAAATTTCTAAGTGTTGACAGCCCTTTAACGCGCATGCGCCATATCGATTGTGCGCAGATTACAACGGACCGCGAAATACATAATTTTAATTTAATTATTTACCGATATCTTAATGATAGTCGATGCTGAAAATGTTCAATTCTTCTCTGAAGACCGCTAAGCACGCTCTTTTCCATGCCAGTGTATACACGCGCAAAACACATCACATTTCACACAAAACTAAACACAATCTTCACTAAACTAAACTTAACACTCAAGACGAACACTCTAGTATCTTATTAACAAAAATTCAATTAAAAATGCACTAGAACAAAACAAAAATCGACAAAAAAAGACGCTTCGCAGCGGTGCGTCGGCGGCGATGCGCAACAACACTCCAGCGCAAAAGGTCGGCAGCGACTGAGCGGCCAGAAAATACCGACAGAATAATGAAGCCGCCTGGCGGCTGGCTGGTGGGTGGGGCTTTGATATCGAGGGACGAACTCGGTTCACATTTTTTTTATTCGTCTTTGATATCACGCATTTTTTAATGTTCATTTTAAATGCTATTTTAATAACAAATTCCTCAATGTTTTTAAAACAAAGTTCATTTGTGTTAATGATGAATCGCTGGAAGATTTGTGAGTTTATCGAGTTTAATTAACGATCCCGTTGTTAAAGGAGTATTACCCCATTCAAACATTTTTTTTTGGAGAACTGCTTTTTTAAATGTTAGACTGATCTCTCTACAATAATTTAGGAAATTTTACACTCGGTTTCTTAATTGAGAATTTAAAGTTTAACGTCTCAAACTAACATCACTTAGTTTTCGTTTCCGATTTTAGTTTTTGAATGATCAGTTGATAGCAGTTTGATAAAACTAGGACTTTTTGACTTGTGAAATGAAAAAAAACTTAGGTTTTTGAGAATAAGCAGTAGATTTTCTACTTTCAAATCAGAAACCGGCTGTTAGTCTGTAAATCGATTTAAGCATTTTGACTTGCCTTTATTGATTGTCTGGTAGAATTTGCATGAAAACAGTCTTATAAATCACAAACTAGTTTATTTCGTTTTTAGAAATGAAGAAATCAATGACCGATTAAAAACTTTTCCTTAGTACGTCCCAAAAACAGCTGACTCAGGGTGGAAAACACTCATTTTTTTTCAAAAACTTTGTAATTTAATATCTCCGAAACTATTTGACCTAGACTTATATTTTTTTTACATCATATTAAAATAGTACTCTTCAGGAACCTCGGGAGTGTCGGTCGTTCTGTTCCACCGAGTATAGTACCTGTGTAAAGATTAAAAAAATGTGAGGTGTCAATTTAATAATTTATAATTATTATTTCTTATTTAGCTCGCAATAATTGGCAATGAAATAGAAAATTATTATTGTTATTATAATTAATTCTAACAACAAATCATTATACATTCAATCATGAAACACTCTGACTCTTGTGATCTAATTCAGTGGTTCTCAACCTTTTTTGAGCTGTAAATCTTTTGTGAACCAAATATTTACAGTCGTAAAAAATCCTAGTTCCGAGTACTGTTTATTAATAAATAGCTGTATTCCCGCAACTTTTCCCGCGTGAATTATAGTTTATACAACCGCATACGATGCAGTTTGCCGTAAGTAAAAGAATTTTTGTAATCAAACCAGTAGTTTAATAAGTTTGTTCAATGCAAACAAACTTACAATCAAATTAATTGCATGATAAATAATAACACCTGTGACTGCAAGTCTGCCAAGGTGGCTTCATAATCTTTCAGGCTGGCCGTGAGTTCGTGAACTCGCGCCGCACTCGAGTCTTTATTACGCCGAATTACAGTAGCTTGCTGCCGGAATGGTGCAAGCTTATCCTCTTGAGGGCCAGCAGCTGCCAGTCGACGTTGTACCAATTTTTCGATTTCACTGTTAACCGCTGCTATCTAATTAAGATCAAATAATTATAAAGACTTTTTACGAAAATAACAAAAACCAAGTTTAGACCTGATTTTGCTGAAGCTGAACCTGAGTTCAGCTATTTCTATACGTATATGATTCCAAGCAGTATATCAATATCATCAGCCTATTAATTGCCCCACTTCTGGGGCAATATACCGTCCCTATATATATGGTTCCACATAATGGTTGTCTATAAAGAGAATTTACCATAATAGACCATGCGTGCTCAGCGGTACGGTGAAGTGGACTTTCGAAATACATTGTCGAGATAAGAAATTTTCGATCAAATAATAAATAAATAATGAATGGTCTTTGCTACAGTTGTTAAAAACCTTCGCAATCGGAGACCGAATATGCGAACCAATATGGTCCACAAGCTTTCACGTTTTTAATGTATTTTCGACATTATAATTAACAATTGTTTTTTTATCACAATAAGTTTAAATAAAATTCACCTTATCCTGTACTAATACTAAATCGGAACGTGTGAGATGCTGTTCCATAGCAATATTTTGCATTATATTCAGTTCCTTCTGAAGACTAGCCATTTCTTCGGGTAATTTTTCTTTCACTAAATAGCTGTTTAACTGAAAATAAAATATAAACAAAAAATTACATATTGATTTCTTATATACACGCACTAGCCATAAATGAAACAACTTTTCGGACCCTTTCAAAAACACACCCAAAAACCTTTTCAAAAATATACACAAATTAAATACCAGTGAATATTTTTCGTGCGTAAATTATGATTGAAACTGATCAAATGCGAGTCGGACTCGCGCACGAAGGTTTCCGTAACATTAGCATTAAAAAAAACTTGAAAAAATCACATTCGTTGTATAGCTCCCATAAAATATTTATTTTATTCTGTTTTTACCCGACTGAAAAGGGTTATGTTATTCGCGTTACATTTATTACATCATATCTTCAGAACTGCTGAACGGATTTAGATAATTGAGATATCGTTAGATTTGTCTAAATAGCTCAAGTATTCTTAGAAGAGCAGCGTTAAAAAATCAAATATGGCGGCTGTGCGTCGTCATTCATATGTTTTTTTTGTTTCTAATACTACAATATGGGTATCAAATTAAAGGGCTCGATACAAATATTCCAAAAAAAACATACCATGATTATCATTACCTTAATACTAATATAAATAACAATGATAAAATAAAAAATATGGACTTTGTTCTTTTACTTTCTGAACCAATCTAGTAATTTGTCTAAATAAAAAGACAAATAAAATTATTATTAAAATAAAACAAAAAACCCACCTGCGTGAAGAACAAATAACTGAAACAAGATAAAAAAATGCAACACCATACATAACATGCAGTCGGAGGCATGAAATTGAATAATAAGTAAAATCATTATCTCTTTGTGTGTGCATGCCTCCGACTACATGTTTTTATGATGTTGCATAATTTTTTTACCTCGTTCCAGCCTTTTCAGTTAGTTGTATTTATTGTTATAGCGGATACAGAAATACATCATCTGTCAACTTTAAATAGCCAATACCTCAAGCCTGGCAAAATTTTGCGATAAGATAATATTGAGCAGAATTCATTGGAAACTAGGTCATTCGCTCCCTTCTCCTCTGTGTTTCAATTTACTACATATCTATCTGTTTATAGAGTAAAAAAAAGGTATAAATTTGGAGCATTCCACGCGAAGCGAACAGGCAAAAAATTATCTACACATTATGAGGTGTTTTCGGAAAATAAAAACCTCATATTTTTACCTGTTCACTTGCAGGCAAGCCTCTCATAATAACAATAATAGAGAGCTTATGACATCACAACAGAGATACAGCCAGTTGCACAAACATCCATTAAAATTGTCATTAATTTAAAGCGCCATACCCATACAAATTTGACATTTATTAGAGCTTAAGGTCGTCATTAAACCTCAATTGACGTTTGTGCAACTGACAGATAACGTCAAATTTTTATTTGTCTATCCGTATAGTAGATTATTAAAGAATAAGAACACGTATTTTTTTCGTAATCAATAAATTACGTCTATACATTGAGTAGAAATATCGCATAACGTCATACCTTTGTACATTTTCTATATATAACGTCATACCTTTGTACATTTTCTATATGGTTGTGACGCGCTCCTCAACTTCAATGCCTATTATCTAAGCCATTTCTTTTTATATTGAAGCAAAAGAAATATATATTATTTTTCTATACTATCTGACTGACGGACTAATTCGATTTTTTTTTACTCACGTATCATCTCTGTTCTTTATTACCTGAATCTCTTCTTTCAAATGTTTGATAACATCGTTCGCAGTTTTTGGAGTAGCACTTTGTCCGTGGATTACGCTCAGATATCTCTTCAATTGATCAGATGCGATTTTCAATTGATTCTGTTGTGTTTCGTACTGTTGCAAAATGAAATTGACTTTGAAAAAGTATTGCATACACAAAGTAATTAATGAAATTGCAAAAACGATAAACTAACTTATTTACTAGATATTAAAATAATAAAAAGAATTAAGAAGGCGCGTACATGCAAATTCATTAACTTTCGTTTTTTATAAAATTTGGGTTTTTTACAAAAAGTCCAAATAAACTGTAATTGCAAAATCATTTTTAAAAAATACATCATAATTTTAAGGTTTTTTTTGTCACTGCCAAATCGTGAATTTTCCCAAAAACTAAAAAGTTATTCCTAAAAGTCTCAATTTTTATTTCTTGTTCTTTATAAACCTTTTTTTAAAGCGAAATTTTATTTATATATGAATAACTTTGCAGCCGAAAGAATTATGCAGCACTTGTACAATAATCTACATAGTTTGCAAATTCACTAGCCTATGAATACCCCCACTTCTGGGGCACATGCCTTCGCTGTGTAATTAATCGAATTGAATGGAATAGGGAGAATTGACCCCATGGGACACATCGTGTGAGTCCAGTGCGGATTTATGGGTGTTAACAACCGCAAATGCAATCGGGACCAACAAATTAACGTGCCTTCGGTGGAGCTCGACATAATAAATTTTTGGTCACCCATACGGAAGTTGCTTAACTGAGGACATCGCAGGCCGAACGCCATCGAACTCGCTCTCCGTCCTTTATCCCTATCAATCTCATTGCCGCAAATGATGGACGCAATAAGTTTGACAGGGACTCTCTTTTTAGCTTTATGCTCCCTCTTAAATATTAAACCAAACATTAAGAAAGTCAACATTCATTACCTGATTTTCCAATTCCTTAGCTTTTTCCTGTTGCTGTCTCAAATTCTTGCCTACGTTTAGCAAATCATCTTTATTATGCACATCTACTAAGTTCATTTGTACATTCTCCAATCTTTTTATGACTACAAATAAATAAGTGATGATTACCAAACTAAGTAGAACTTATATATCAATGAAAAAAAAAAACTTGGTGGCTAAATACCAGGTAAAAATCTACATATGTTTGTTTTCACTGAATTATAGTATAGAAAACCTTGTTTTAATTTAGAAGTTCTGCCCAATTATTGACGAGCTTTATAGATAATGTCCATTAGATTATATTTCTATAGATTTTATTCCTTCTACATTGTTATTTGGAATATATATTCAGTATGGGAATATTAATAAGCGGACATATTTAATAATGTCTTATCACTTCGTCCTTAACTCATAGACCAAGCAGTAGAGTTAAAATAACGGGGATTCATTAAAAACCAACTAGTAGTAATCCCGTAAATAATTTCTTCTATAATACATGAAAATCCGTTTAGTAATTGAATAGTATCCCTACCTTAATAAGAAATATTGAGTTTCCTTCCAAAATTTTTCTTTATAGAAAAAAAAATGATAAACCTTCAACTAAGCCAAGTAAATCGGATGGCGGATTTGCGAGATTTATTGAAAACTCGCACGTTTTACCATTGCGAGTGATTTAAAAAGGAATTCCATAATTCTATATAAAGAGAATACTATTTCATAATTGGTTACTTTATGGATTAAAATCAAATGAGATATCCGATTAAAAAATACTTTAATATATGAGAATTATGATGATAGCTACATAAAAGAACTTTGCAGAATTTCTTAATCGCTTACATCCTTTCATGACGTGTCTGCACAAACCATGGGATCACTTACCTATATCTCTCTCGACTGCCATCTCCTTAATATCATTGATAATTTCCGATGCGTTTTCCTTTTGCAGTAAACGGGTACGTTTGTGCACTTCCTTAAATTCGTCTATTAGATTCTGGTAGAGATCGAGCATGTCCTGAATGGTATTATTTTGAACCACATCAGAGGAAATTTCGGGGATTTTCAGATACCTGAAATAAAAATCATAATTTACTCAATGAAATAAAGAAATCGTGGGATTGCTTTAAGGTTACACACTTTTATGTTTGAACTATTAGGATAGGTTCTAATTACTTCTCTCGTTACAATAAATATGAGATAATCTCACATGTCAATGGATGTATACCTCCGTGGTAAAGCCAGGCTTATGAAAGGTAGACTTAAAGGCTCACATTCAGAAAGATAAGGATAATGTATATCTATCTATGTCACGTCGGTATGTCAAGTGAAAAGAACTAGAAAATAAATTACATTCATCCGAAACATTATGTAATTAAATCCCAAAAGTAGCAGTACCTACTCTGTTTAATAAACTAACACAATTCAAAAATGGATATTAGTTCAGAACATAGATCGATATACTTTATAATTATTTCTCTTGGCAACATTCTAAATTACGACTTGTTTCAAAGTATTTAATTGGCAGCTTTAACTTTTGATTAGATCTTACTTTTCAATTAAATGTGTCATTTGTTATTATAATTTAAATCTTTACATACACAAATTTACTAGCTATGTCAAATAACAAAGTACAATGTAGGGAATGGTTAGTTTCCTTTCTATTTCAATTTACTACAATGAACACTTAGAATGGGAATCCATGTCACATAATGAGGGTTAGCACTTTAAGCGGTTGTCTCTAGAGCATTCTAAAGAAAAGCTTAGTTGACAGTTGCCTAATCCCCAGCTGTACGTTTTGTGTTATAATCATCGAGGAAAAGGCACATAAAAGTTCTGATCACGTATTTGCCGCCTAACATGGCGCCTCACTAATTCACCTGTCGCAATAACAGATATTTGTTGTGTTGTCAGGCGAGAATCCAATTAATTGTTTGATTCGGCCCCAGGATTGTTGTGATTAATGCGTGTTTGTTCTTATTCCTTTTTTTGCCCACATGATTTGATTTGTATTTATTTTTTAACTGGGTATCTAGCTTAGCATTTTCAAATGGCAATGAAATGGCGAATGGCTCTTTTTAGTTAGCAAAGATGTTAATGTAAAATGTCCAATTCGTAGCCAACGTACTCTTTGGTTTTACTATGCATCAATTTAGTAATTTTATTTTTTCACAGCTTTAAAGGACTGTAGCACCTAAATATGTATTTTTAATTTCAGCTCGATACATCCACACGTTCCCGAAATTAAGAGTCTTGACAGACAGAGAAACAAAAAGACTAATAACAAAGGGAGTTTATAGGGGAACCTTTCTTTTGTAATGGGGACGGAATCCTTAAAATTAAACTCACCCTCGGCACATAATAAACTTTTAAGTACCTACAACCTAATCCAGTTTTTTTTGTGAAAATCTATATTTCTAAAATATTTAATGTAAGCAAATATATATGCGCTAAACTAAAAAAACTTCCGTCTGAATTCTGATTCAGTTTTCCCCAATTAAAGTGATTCATGAGATAAACTTTGTTGTGTACTTGATTTATTAACAAAATTTTATATGTATACTAACACGGCTGGAGAATAACGACAAATTAAAAATGTTGGAAAATATCATGCCGACTAGGCATTAGCATGTTATTTATTGCATCCGTCCGTGCGAAGTTGTGTCTAATTAATATTTTAGACAAGTACATTTTTTTATTAAATGAATGAATGGATGAACGAATAAATACTTTATAGCTGAATAACATAAAAACACAACAAAAACACGCAAAAGGCGGCTTTATTGCTAAAGTCCAGGTCACCTTTGGCTAAAATATTAAACAACATAGTCTTATATATGTTATGGGCTAAGTAATAACTTATGCATTATGTGTAATGCCCGGTCATTTTGAAAAATCCCCAATATGAGATAGCAATTTGGTAATATATATTCAAATAATCAAATTGACTGGGCACTGCACATATTGCTCATTACCTTTTGGGCAGAGTAATAGATACATAATTAATAAGTATTTCTTCACTTATATTTATAATGGGCTCACTCTTAACTTCAATCTAGCCCGAGGACATAAATGAGATACAATAAACTAAATGCTAAACAGTCTTATTATTTGGATTAATTAGCAAGGACTTCGTACATTAAGAATCCCCTAGCTTTTGCATTTAAAACTCAAGGAAAGTAGTATTAAAAATACAGGTAATACAAAATACATAAAATTAAAAAAAAAGTTTCAAAACATATCCTTTTTCCCATATCATTTGTAAGTTTATAGAAGTTTTGATGGAAGCACTTTAGAATCGATGACCACAACAACGTGCGCTAAGGTGGAGGGATATACGAAAGTAGAAAAACTAAAAACCTTTACTCTTAATCTATTAAAAAGAAATAACCTCAAAATTCAAGACTTAAATTTCTAACCTGTTACGTGAGCTACAGGGCCAACATAACTTCGTTTATGTATTTGTTTTTTTGTAATTTGTAACAATCATCTTATAGTAAATCGTGTCACGTTATGTATTTGTTTTTTTTTTGTATTTTGTAACAAACATCTTATAGTAAATTTGTAACAATCATAGTAAATCGTGTCACGCGTACGAGTACTTCCATTTTCGCACCGCGTCATATTTAGCTTTATTATTAAATTGCACAATTGTCAAATAGCAATATAATAATGACCGTAAAAATGTGATAAATAATGAAGTTTAGATAAAATTTTATCATTTAGTCCGATAGAGCTAGACATTATTCATAATGTTCGCACGTTATTAAAAATGCCCGCATTAATCTGGACCGTAACATATACACTGCTCAGATTCAAGATAAGTAGCTAAAGCCCTCGTATTATGGAGTATCTGAGACAACAAAGATACCACAACACATACCCGAGACAATATAGAAAATCCTGAAAGAAACTATACATAAAATTAACCATCCTGTAAGCAATTATTTTATATTCTCAGATGACATGTTGTCGCTTTGAGCTGTCTACTTTATTCTAACAGCCATCGACATTTTACTCGATAACTTAATATAAGTACGTAAATGAACATCGGTGTTCCGAAATATCTACTTGACGTTGTAAGAACGTCGTGAGAATTAATTTTAGGAAATAATAGCGACTTTTTTTATTTAAGTTGATATATCTATACTAATTATTATAAAGAGGACAGATTTTAATTGTTTGTAAACATAAGCTATATTTTATCCTGAAAAACAACAAATAATGGGATGTAAATGGAAGTGGAAGTTTGTATGGGGTATTAAAAAATTGCTATAGTAACCATTGTACCATTTACTATTCAATTTGTCATTGCAATTATGTCATGATATGAATCGATATCAAAATAATCAGTTCCATTGGGAAAGCCGCTGGCGATAAGCTAGTACGTTATAAAGTGATTACGTACGTTTGAAAATTATTGTAATCTCCTTTTGAGTTTATTTTCTTCATATGCACATTTGAACCAGATTTATATTTGCCAAATATAGGTACGGTCGGCCAAGAAAGTGGTCTACCAGTATGACAACATTTCCCGTGTCTTTAAAGCATCGCTAAAGGCGAATCTTAGAATTGCATACAAACAATAAAAGAGATGCACAATGCTGACGTGTTGTCGTAGAGCACAAATGTTATTTTGACCTTTGCAGCCTATGCATTAGATAATAATTTGCAACAACAAATAGTCTTCACAATATTTCATAAATTTAAAATTTAAGTAGGTCACTTCAAAGTGGAAACTATTTTGTTACGAAAACTCTTTTACTGAAAAATAATATATCACTTGACAATTCATGTCAAATATTTTCTCGGCATTTTCCGTAGGTATTTTCCTAATTAATTTACACTACAATGCCCCGAAATTTATCCATCCAATATAGGGAGATTTCTAGAGAATTAAATGTGTCGGTAAGTATTATTATGTCTGACGTGAGTTTAATGTAAAATCTCAGACCAAGTCCGAGTGTAAAATTTTTTTTTTATTTTTCTGTTCATATTTTATTTTTGATTATAGAGACAAGCTGTCCGTCTTTGGATAAGACGAGAAAGCGAGGAGGGGAATTTGAACGCTCGGAGTCGTAGCGGTCGTAGACCTGAAATATCAGATACTCAGCGAGTCTTCATGAGACGGAGTTAAGAGGAATCTGGCTTTATACCAACGCGTTATTTTGCCGACATATTTGACGTGACTCTCCAAACCATTAGAAACCATTTACATTACATGGGCTTACATCACAGGCGTTATGCAAAGAAAATTTATATGACTGACGCTCATAGAATGGCCAGATTAAATTTCGCCATAGAATATTTGGATTTTGATTGGAGTTACACTGTTTTCTGTGACGAGAAAACTTTGAAATCCAGTCAACACGGGCGTCTACACTTTTGGCGATTCAATAAAACGCGATACACGCAAAATCATGTCGTGCCAGATAGAGAATCGGGTCGTATCTCGGTAAATTTGTATGGATGGATGACTGCTGATGGTGTTGGAGACTTGACCTTTTTGCTACCACGAGCAACGGCATCAGATTATGTTGATGTTCTCCAAAATGCTATGTTGCCATCCGTCCGGAACGTTTATCCAGAAAATGAAATGCGTCAATTTAATTATTTACAGGATAACTGTCCCTTACATAACACGTGCTTGGTTTGATGCACATCCGGAAATAAACTTGATACCATGGCCTGCAAAATCGCCAGATCTCAATCCTATTGAAAATATGTGGGGTCTTATGGTTCAGAAATGGTGTAACCGTAATGAACGAACAGCAGAAGCACTACAAGGGCACTGCAATGAGGTTTGGAAGGAAACACGTGGGTCTGATATCTGCTCAAGACTGGTGGGCTCGATGAGGGAACGTCTCCAAGCTGTTATAGAGGCAGATGGCGGCTACACAAGATTTTAAGAATTATAATTTTATAAAAGAATTGTATATATTTTTTAACAACCAAAGAATTAGCATTTTCACTATCTCTTCTAGTTTTAGCCCTTGTCTCGCACTAAGCTATGGGTCGGCGCAATATGTTTTTCGTCGCTATTCATTTCTGTTATCCGTTATCTCAGTATATTCAGACCTATAACACGCATAGCTTCTTACGCATAGCATTTCACTACCTACTGATTTTTTTCATTTGTATTAAAATATAATTAATCTACATTCTAATGTAGGATATTTGTAGACTATAAGACTTTATTTACGATATTCTAACTCTAAAGTATTTAAACATACAAACAGACAGAGAGAAAAAAAAATATTTTTGGCTTCTATTACTCTTATGAAGGCCGTCCATATATTTTTTTTCCAAAATATCTTACAAATGTAACCTTGTTACATTTTTATTATAGGTATAGATAATTACTGTCAAAGGTTACGTCAAAATGATGAAGATAGCAATAATGACTTGTACTTGACGTGTCAAAAAATTAATGCTACGGAAAATCAACCTTGTTGTTAGTTGACGTAACACGCGAAATTCAACCTTAGGGTGGTAGACCACTTTCTTGGCCGACTGTACCTACTACGACACCATACATACATACATACAAAATTGTGAGAATATTACAACTTATTAAAAATATAAAAATTACTAAAAATATTATCTGACGAACTTCGTGACTTGGCTTGGCTTGATGTGCCTTAAGTACCGATTTCAAGGTATCGCCATCTTTAGTTCTCAGGTTTTATTCCTAACCGGAACAAACTAAACTTGAACCCGAGCAATGCAATCATATACACTGTGTAATCTTTAATGACATTAATTATTTCTACTCCATGATCATAAGTCCTTTTACTGCAGGGGCACGGGCCTTCCTTATAGATGGGTAAGGAGAATGGGCCATGACCCTCCACGCTGGCCCAATGGGGATTGGGAGGTATTAAAGACTGCAAATGCGAGAAAAAGAGCTCGAAATGATAATTTATCTCTTCTTAAACCTTGTTACAACATTATATACATTATTAATTCCTATTAAATTTAAGATTATAATGTTTCTTTCTCACTTGGCTAAGTATGCGGTATTCTTGACCTGCTCTTTGTTAGTCAGTAACCAATGTAGCACATGATGAATAGTCCTCGCGTCTCCTGCCAGCAGCTGAGCCCTGAACTTCGGTGGCTCTACATTGGCTGGCGGTCTGTACTTCACACAAGCTAACATCTCTAGTAAACGCACGGATATCATCTCCGAGTCATCCTCATTTATATCTATCTGAAAAAGATAAGCATATATACAGGATCATCATGATCATCAGCCCTATTACATCCCCACTGCAAAGCCTCAGGCATCCTTATGAATGGTTAAGTTAAATGGATCATGACCCTCACATGACGCTGGCCCAATGTGGCTTGAAGGGTATAACGACTGCAAATGCAGCAGAGGATTAATGTAGGTATCTTTCGAAGCAGGGAGTAGCTCGAGATTATATTTTTGTCACAAATCCCGTGACCGACATTTGCGCCACCCAGCTAAGATCTACGCATAGTATAAAACAAAGTAGCTTCCCGCTATCTGTACAATGAAATTAGTTAATTTACACTACGAATTTTAATCCATTTTTCATCAGTAAACAGAGTAATACAAGAGTAAGGATTATATGCAAATACGTAAACTAAGCCGCTGGCGGAAAGCTAATATATAATAAGCTTTTTGATCACGCTATTGTAGCGCTAATAAGTCGCGTGGCTTAATTTCCATCTATTTCACAGCCGCACGATAGAAATCAGTTGCGCAGTAGGACCAAAGAAAGTACTTTTGACATTTTTAAATATTTTATGTGTAACCAAAGACTCTTAAAAATTATATAATCATAAAAATTATTGTCGACTTTCACTACGAGTTCTATAGATTATCCTGAAAGTTATTTGTAACATAATTCTAAAATTATTTGAAATACAATTCTTGATTATTCCGCTATACCAATGTTTGCAGCTTGTAAATACTTACAACTTTAATTCGAACAGTTGAATTATTTAGACAAAGTTGATATCTGAGAGTAAAATTCAAACTCAAAGTTTAATATGGCTGGTGTCCAAACTTATAAATAGAGCTGGATTTTGAATTGTCAAGCGTAAAAGGGGACCCCAGATTTGCTTAAGAGGATTACTTTAAATATACAGAAAAGTAATTACATATATAAACATTTATGTCGCAATCATAATATTCTCGGTAAACTAAAAATGTTAAATTTAGTATTATTTCCAAAATGTAAGCATTATATTTAGTGATAGATAGATAGTGTGTGTACATGTTTGCTATACATACTTTTACGTTGGTTTTTCTGGAACTAACGTCTTTTAAAAGTTTTTGCAAAGTTAATAGTTAAGGCTTAAGGCTGCGTATAAATACAAAGAAAAAAGAGACAACTTATTGATTAAAATAAAGCGTCAAAAACTATTTTTTTTTTTACTTCACTTGTTCAAAATTTCTCCATTATAGCGCAAAATGAAGCTAAAATAATACTTCCTTCCCCAGGGGAAAAGTTTATTATAATTATATTTGATCAGTTTTGCATTCACAATACTATACCAACTGGAAAATATTCTGCATGAAAAATTCTTAAAAAATTCACTTACTCCCTGGTACTCTGAGATGGGATTCGAACCCACGACCTAACGCAATCAACCCCATCTCAGAATACCATAGACAAAGCGTATTATTAAATCATTTTTAATTAAGTTTTTATTTTATTTTGTATCTATAACCTGCAAGCCTACAAGAAGTCTTTATTCATAAGTAAAACCTTATCGACCTCCGTTATCAAGTGGCTTTTACGCCGGTTTCAAAGTGTCACCCACCATCTTTGAGATTCGAGAGGTATTTTTGTTAGTTAGTTAGTTAGTATCTAATAGGTTCTGGATACTGCTATTATTTTAATAATTCTTTCACCTATGAGAAGCTATATACGAGGCTACATTTACTACACAGGCTATAAGCTATAATATACGCGGGCAAATCGCGGGAAAGGAGCTAGCGATATAAAAAAACTGGAGAGTTTGATTCCAAAATGTTTCTCTAGCGTTCGGTTCTCGAGATCGACTCCAATGCGAATTGAACAGTGATGTTAGTTTTATTAAATATAGTTTAATAGTTAATTTTGAGTCACATTATAGAACTAGCGAAAATTTTCTATCTACTATCCACGAACATAATTCGCATCACGTCTATTAAATTCGCTTTTGCTATGTTACATTTTATCCACTCCATTGCAATTTACGATGACAGCGATACCGTCGCCCGCCTCTGGCTGTAAAATGGCAAGCCTTGCAACTTTGTGCAGCATATGTGAAGCTTTATCCGAGATATTGAAATAGCAGCAATTTGTCGAACTGACGCAATCATGTAGAATCAAATAACTCTACAAAATCATGTGGATGAGTGAAATGTAATAAAATTAAGAGAAAAGATACTGGCGAATGATATAGTGGCACGAAGTAGAAAATAAAAAATATTGTAAATACCTATTTAAAATTGTTTACATTGCCATGACCATGGGTGGAATGCATTATGAAAGTAGTTTCAAAAATCACGAGACAAGCTACAAAAAAATAATAATTTAAAAAATGTTTTTACCTAATAGAAATCAATGAACATACATAAAAATAATACAAAGCAGTCGAATATAGAAACCTTATCCTTTTTTATTTTGAAGTTTGTTTCAAAGGCTTGTGCAATATTTACACAAGCCTTTGGAATATTCTAGTTTTATTATTAATTTTGAAATTCCGCCAATAGCTTCGTCCGCGTGGACGTGGTATTATACATAATTATAAACACTCCTCTTGCATCATTCTGTATATTGAATGAAAACCACATTAAAATCCATTGTACAGACAATGGGAAAGGATTTTTTTTTATTTAATAGAAAAGGTATATGTCGCATCATCTTTACGAAGATCGTTTGATTTAGTTTCTTTTATTTTAATTGCTAGTTACTCGATTACTTAATTACTCGATTGTAAAGAGAGCGTGATCATCGATACCTTTAATTTTATTAGAATGTTGACACTGACTTTGATAGTTCGTTAACAAAAGCAAATTGCCGCCATTTTAACACACATTCTGTTTCCGATCGCCGAGGAGTAAAGACATCTGATGACATCACGCTCATCTCGTTATATTTTCGTAAGAAAAGTGATAAAATGGAACAAATCCACGTTGATATACACGCCTGCAGTGTTATTTTAAAGATAGTCCTCCGATATGGACAATCTATTTGGGCTTCGTAATAGCCCCTTCGGACTACCCGCCGTTATATATTTTAAACAACATTATAGGGAGAAATTTGCAAGTTAGATCACACTTCGGAAGTTCGAGACCTAAGAGATGATACGATGACCGCGACTGTTCGTGTAAGCCAGGCTTTCAAGATCTTATTTTATAACACTCAATATTTGTAATCATTGAAAAGTGGTGCGTACATCTAATACTTACATATTTCTAATTATCATCATCACCAGCCTATTAGTTTCTCCATTGTTAAGGCTCAGGCCTTTCTATGGATGGTATCGAATTGAATAGGGAGAATGGACCTTGCATGCATGACGCGAGCCCTGTGCTGACTGATTAACAATTGCAGGTGCAGCCGGGACCAACGCTTTAAGGAGCCTTCCACAGCACGGATTTCGAGATAGTTAATTTTAGGTCTCCCTTCCTATGATAGACCATCAAGCGCCTCGGTTGGACCTTGGAGAAATTAGTGGGCGTTAAAAGTATCGGGTTGGCACAAAAGTAATGAGACACTTGGTTTAAGTTTTTACTTTTTTATTATTATTACAATAAAAAAACTTTAGTCAATGATGTAATTAACATTAGTATCTAAGACTTCTTGCCAACGATCCGGCAAAGTTTGGATGCCTTTTGCCCAGAACTCTGATGGCTGTGCCTCGAAAAAGTTGTTCAACTCCGCCTCGACGTCAGAGAAATCATTAAATTGTTTACCCCGCAAATGCTGTTTCAGGGCTCTAAACAAATGATAGTCTGATGGGGCGAGGTCTGGGGAATAAGGTGAGTGGGGTATCGTCTCCCAGCCCAAGTTCTCCAACTGCCGGCGAACCACAGATGCGACGTGAGGTCGAGCGTTATCGTGCAGTAAAACTACATTGACTCGTCTTCGTCGTTTTTCTTGATAGCGGCAGATAATTTGGTAAGCTGGGTTGAATAATTGTCAGCGTTTATAGTTTCATTGTGTAATAGCTCATAAAACAATTGCGCATCCCAGAAACAGCAAAGCAGAATTTTTCGGCTTCGGTTGAGTTGGTGGCGTTTCTTCTCGAGGCAGCCAAAAAGCACGACGTGTATCGTTCTCGTAATAAATTCATGATTCATCTCCAGTAACCAGATCTGACAAAAACTCTTTACGTCGGGGTCGCAGCAAAAGTGACTGACAGATAGCGACACGGACTGCACGACTGGCGTCTGTAAGGATGTGCGGTACCCACCGAGCCAAAACTTTTCGATAACCAAGCTCATGCAGATGGTGTTCCACGGAGTGGTGACTGCATTTAAGTGCTTCCGCTAATTCACGAGTGGTAGCATCCGGATTCAACTGCAGTTCGCGGCGCAAATCGTCATCATTCACTGCGGGTGGTCGCCCTGAGCGTGGCTGACTTTCAAGGCTCCTGTCTCCTGATTGAAAAAGGTCAAACCATCGGGACACCGTCGCATGGCTTGTACTTCCAGCGCCTAATGCATTATTGATATTGTCAGCCGCAGCCCGCGCACTGTGGCCTAACAAGTACTCGTATAAGTATAGTGTTCGAACTTGTCGCTCGTCCATTTTTCTTCAAACTGAGTAAACAAATCGCGAGCGCGGCTTTATATACCCTACACCAGAAGTACCTAGAATGTTCTACAACATTCTAGAATATTATCGAAAAAATCGATTTTAAAAAGGAAATGTTATAGATTTTTCTAGTGTGTCTCATTACTTTTGTGCCAACCCAATACAATATCTAATATGCGTCACGTTAGCCAATCCAAAACTGACCGTATTGTCTAGTTTTTAAAACTCTTAACGACTAATATGAATGTGAATATGAGTATGGGACATACCTTTTCGCCAGCGTTAAAACTAACAAGTAAATCCACCAATAACTGTAACAGCAGTTTCTCATTTAAAGAATCGAATTTAATCAAATCATAGTTTCTGCCCAAATTGGCATTCAACTCTTTGACTATAAATTTCATTTGCTCCGTCATTTTACAACTTTTACTAAGAAACCTTGAGACTAATATGTACAATAAAATCAACTGTAATGGACGTTTCTGGAATATTAAAGAGTTCAATATAATTAAAGGTTTTATTTATCGAGCTTTGAAAAACTTGTTTTCTGTTTAGTAACCATGGTAACTACAATTTTGTATACACCAAAGAGTAAAAAACTTACAACCTTGAGTAATACTGCTTTAGTTATTCTAATTGTCTATTATATATTTAAAATTCTTGGCAATGTTTAACACGATACGTTATATGTATATATTGATTATTTATATACTTATAGATTATTAACCGAGTTAAAACCATAGCCAAAACCATAAATTTAAAACCACGTAACAACCCCAGAAAGAATAAAAACATCTGAGTAAAGAGCTTTGTGGTAAAGAGTAAACTTGTAGTAAACACTTGGTAAACACCGAAACAACCGTAGTATCATTCATTTCATTTTCATTTTACATGTAGAAATTTATTTATTCACTTGACATAGGCAGAATTGTGCGAAATGCGCAGATAAGCCATTAATAAAAGAAGAAGAAGAAGTAGATTCTATTTGAGGAATTATACACTCTGAAGATATTTCATCTGCCCTGCCATTCTGTAAATATCCATACCCGAATTCACTCAGGTGGCCGAATTCCTTTTAAAAAGCGGCATCCACTCAGCACTGCCCTGCGATTCTGTAAAACTTCAAACCCGAATTCGAATCCACTCAGGTATCCGAATTAACTTAAAAAAGCGGCATCCGCTCAAACTTGAATTGATAATAACGTTTCGTGGCATAAGTGAAGTGATTTTTGAAATGATATAGGATTGAAATATCTAAGACACGTGTATTCAATCAATTTTGTTTAGTATTTTTATACAAAAAATGAAATCTATAGGATTTCTATACTAAATGGAGTGAATTCGGACACATGAGTGAATTCACGTCATTTAGTGTAAAAATTCTATTGATTCCATTTTTTTTTGTATAAAAATACAAAACAAAATGATTGCATACACGTGTCTCAGATATTCTATTCCTATATCATTTCGAAACTCACTTCACTTATGCTACGAAACGTTATTACCAATTCAAGGTCGAGCGTGTGCCTCTTTTTGAAGTCAATTCGGACACCTGAGAGAATTCGAATTCGGGTTTGGAGTTTTACAGAATCGCAGGGCTGAATGGTAATAACGTTTCGTGGCATAAGTGAAGTGAGTTTCGAAATGACGTAGGAATTTTGTTTCGTATTTTGATACAAAAATGAAGAATCAATAGAATTTCTACACTAAATCATGTGAATTGACATGACATGAGGGAATTCGAATTCAGGTCTGAATTTTTGAAAAAAATGAATGATTTAGTATTATTTTTGTGTTAATTTAACTGAAAACGAAATTGCTCAGTTGCAGTCAAGTCTAATAAGTTATTTAAGGACCATAAAAATATTAGCAAAATAAAAAACATTAATCTTTGAATAAATTATATTTCTGATATAATTACAATCATTATCATTTTGTTCTTATCGTCAATTCTCAATAAGTTGCACTTAAGTTTAAGCCGTTTGTGCCTACAATTGTGATGTTGATTAAATTTTGACTACGCAACAGTACACTCAATCGCTTCACAGCCACACATGTTGCTAATCTTCATTTTATTATGATGTATAACAATGGACAAAACGAAGTATCGATTACTGTAAGATCTTCCATTTAATTATTAAACATGAAATAAATTACCTAAATCAATGAAGTCAATACTTTTATACTGACAAAATTCACAATTACATTATACAAAAATAGGGTTTTCCTGAATGTTGTTTTCAGGCATTTTTGGTACATTCATGATCCAAATTGAAGCTGTGACACAAGATTATACACTTTTCGATATTACCACAAAAATAATGACGTACGACTAAATAAAAACCGCACTTAATCATCACTGGAATAACAATGTAACCATCTAGCACCAATTTCAATAACCTAACATTATTATAAACAATAAATTAAAATAAGTTAAGCTTTGAAAGAAAAAACGCTTTGACATTTTAGCCACAGCACACATACTTCATGTAACTCTTCGAAGTTGAATTGGATGCTACTTAAACTATGGCATGCACCTTTTATATTACTCAGACCCTAAGTTAGTAACAAATTTCACCAAACACCAATGGAAATTATGTAATCGGCGAATCCTAACTTGACTGCACTAATCGTTAATATTTACAAAGACTATAGGAGCATCTAACAAACATAAACAACACACAAATCGAAACATATTACAAAAACAATCGTTCGACGTTACAAAATCGTAACACACATTTCTCATTTATAAACATCAATAATTTGTACTCTTCTAAATTAATGGAAAATTTATTATTTACAATGATATCATTAAATATTTATGACTAAACACATATAATTATAAAGCTTGAATATATAAATGATAGGAATCCGATTCATTATTTTCCTTTATAGCATCTACGAATCTAAATGTTAAGTCTCACTATTTACCTATCTAAGAAAAAATTACAACCTTGAAAATTTATTTACTACAGGCTGTTCATCGACAGGATATTTTTATAAAAAAAAATTATATAAAAAACACAAATTTAATAATCTCGTATTATGAGATTTTTTCCAGAGATTGGATACATTAAAATTGAGAATTACGAAAAAAATTTAAAGAAATTCAGCACAAGTTTGGTCCTCAAGACTATCTCTCTCCTTTTAAAAAAATGCTGAGTATTAATTTCGCTTTTTTTACAACATTGAACATAATCAGTTTCTTCCTTTCGAGGAATGTTTTAGAGAGACAATAAAATTATTGTTCATAGTAAAATAAAATCGGTGCATACAATATACAACTGTCGGCCAGCCACATAAATGCACATGAGCAATTCACTAAAGAAAGATAGCTATTAAAAATACAAGTCAATACGTAATAAAATCGCAAATAAAATTGTATCTAAATAAAAACGTAAAAGAGTCTCCAATAGATTCACAAACAATCCTTTAGGAGTCGGTCGTTTCTAAACAGTCACTTTTCATATCGGATGACGATTCAATCACTGAACCGGTACTAAGTGCGGAAGATTCACTCGATCGCTTTTATAGTAGGCCCCCTTTCCGACCGAAGAGAAGACTCAGAGTTCCGAGGGGGGAAGAAAACGCGGAGGTCGGGCAAGCGGTCGGTGGGGTGTCCACCGTTCCCAAATCTGTTCTAGGTCGAGGCGCCCTCGCTCGCCGACGCCCAGGAACCGGGGTACTATCCAAAGCACCTTCACCGGGATGAGCTGGTACACCTAGAGGTGCTTCACCTATAGATTCCACCCTCTCCAACGGCGGTGCGGCTGGGGATCTCAGCGTTCGCTTCAAGCAGGTAAGTTGCTCCATAGGGCTGCGGTGAACTAGCCCAGTGTACAAAGACCCGGGGGTTTGGAGTGCGAGCGGGGCCGGCGACCCGTCCGCAGCCGGCGAATGGAGGTACCGTCTACGGAGTATCGAGGTCCCGCTGGCTATGAGAGCGTGTAACGAAGGCGGCGCGTCTCCGGGGCGAGGTGTTGGAGGAGGGGAGGATTCGGGGGAGCCTAGTAATGGACTGTTCGCGGGCGTGGCGGTCGGCGACCAGTGGGTGCGCGACGGCTGACATAAAGAGTCCCGGCGGGAATGTACAGGCGACACAGCAGCCGATGACCTCCTCGACGTGAGGCGGGAACTCCACGCGCTACCGAGCACGCTGCTAGAGAGGCTGCTCATGCCGCTGCTGCATACACTACTGACGTTCGAGCTCGCTAGACTGCCGTCGTTCGGATGGAGGACAGTACTGCGAAACAACAAAAAAAAACAAATTGAGAACAGTGAATCACAAGAACAATAAAAATTGCAGTTACAAATAAGGTCAATGTCAATCTGTATACATATATCCGCACTACCAACTAACATAAACTACTAATCAAGTCTTGAATTAGAATATAACAGACTTCTTATCACGTTTTGATTACTGTTCTTAGATAAAAGTAATTAAAACACTAAACAATGGGTAATCAAAAAATATTTCGAACTATTATGAATACAAATGACTTGTCATTTATTTATACATACAATGAACAAACATAACTTACATCTCAACAAAATTTCCTTAAATACCATTTAAAAAAGTATAAATCTAACTCCTACACTGGGATAAACCGGTATCTTAGGAGTTAGTGAAAAATTAGAACTAAATAATTTATATCAATTACAAACTAAGTTTCACCTATTCGTGAACGTATACACGTGACTGGAATGCGGTAAACGAGGCATGTCGTCGTCTTCTTCCACATCTGATAATCGGTAGAGTCGCAAACCTAGACCCGCTGCCGAGCGAGAACCGCGGACCCCCACTCCTTCTTGGTCTTCCAGTAAACCTGACAAAAAAAATGTATATTAGTAAAAATCATGAAATTCAATAATCAAAAATAGAAAGAGATTATTCCTGAATTTAAGGAAAGAATTTTATACACACTAAGACCTTTCATATTATATGAAGTAAATGTTTTCAATGAATAATGAAAGCTACTTCGGTTCTATTTATTAAATCAATATGTGAGTGACCGATAGTACTAAAGTGGGGAATTATAGAAAAGCAAACACTTGATTAACTGATATAAACAACTCGGTTTATTGTAATATCCATGCTATATTACTTCGTAAGTACACTCATGAAATGTAGATATGTGGTAAACATAGATAGAATACTTGTCACCGGTCAATCCTAATTTTAGACTGTAGAGGTTTGTTGTAACACTCCTAGGCTAAACGATTCTTCCTAAGCATGGAATATGTATACTAGTTGAGCCCAGGACCATCTTGTTTGGATTAAATTATCTTAAATAAAACAGTATTATTCTGAAAAGCGAAAGTTGAAAATTTCATTGTACATCATAAAAATAAAATTGGCTGAATTCAAAAGATATTTATATATTTTTTCTTAACCAAACCCACTACAGAATAAGGAACAAGACCACAAGGTTGATGTGAAGTTTGCATTTGCAAACAATAACATTAAAACAATAGATGGTTCACCTGAGTGACTGGTATAAGTATATAAAAAAAAAAAACAGACTGTGCCTATGTACATTATTTAAATTATAATAAAGTGAAATTCACAACTCGACTCAGTTTATTAACCTACTGTGATTGCATCACTATAAAAATAACAATTAGATTACTTTTATATATAGTCCATTTTTTATTGCTATCAACCTATTGAGAGCTCTGTTCATTAAAGAATGTTGAAAATAATTTTGCAAATAAATTTTTGATAGTCTTTTTAAAGCAATACACCGTTATTCTCCGTTACTCTTATTGTTTAATTTTTTATTAAAGAAATTAGCATTTATATTTTATTGACTACACACAAGCCCCTATGGCGAACTACCCGCCCCAATTTTGTACTTTAGCAACCGCCCTAAATTTGAGCGCAAAACGCTACGCTTATGCACCTTGGACCAGTGGCGATAACTGACGTCACGCATTACCTATGATGTAAGCCCACATCGCCTTTTTCCTTTTAGGTCATTTGGCACTTCAAGGCTTCCTAAGGTAGTAGGATAAATTCATATATTTCTTGACCATGAATTTTTCAACAAATTATGGCAAAATAAATACTGTTGATAGCCAAGAGGACAAAGTTTACTTCCCCGTAACTATTAAAGCCGATAACAGCAGTTTATAATGTCTAAATTACTAACACCGGGTAATCAACACTATAATGATTATTTTTATAATTTTATTAGCAAAGGTTAAAACTTACCGGACATAGTGGGCTTAGCTAGTTGTGCCCAGGTGTGCAGAGTGAGGGAGCCCTCTAAAGGCTTGACAATTTGCAGTTTATGTGGTGCCCGGAATCTTGCCAATCCACCAGCAGCTCCAGCGCCCCACACTGCGCTCTCTTCGCTCGCATCTCGATCTAAACAAACAAATGGATAGACCATCCTAAATAATTCGTAATATATGATGACGATATAATTACAACCGTCTAGTTGATATATAAGTATAAAGACGTGAAATATACGCTATTTTAAATCCATTTCATGAATTTCTTTATTATAACATAAGATCATATCAAACCTCTGGCAATTTAAAAACACATGATCTGTCCGGACAAAGATAATTTTAGAAAACAAACTAGTAATGTAGGACAATTAACAACAAATATTGATGGAATTTCGCGAATTCGTTTTTCTACTTTTACTTCTAAATACAAGTGTTTTCAAAACAGTATTAATATATTGATAGATATAATGAGTTTAAAAAAGTGAGGTACCCCCACTCTCGGAAAATATGACTTGAAAAAAAACGTAGTAAGAAACAAGCAATAAGGCGTCACACTATGCTCCGTCATAGGCGCCCACGTTACGGTCCTTGTTATACACAAATTACAAATTGCAAATTCATATGGCAAAAACATAATATAACTAGCTGACCCGGCAGATGTTGACATGTTTTAATTATGAATATTGAATTTAATATTAAAGTCATAAGGTTACATTTAAAAAGTATATATTATGCAAAGCACCAAGGTTTTGTTAGAAATAATCTTTAAGGGTGGTTATTTATTCTTAAATTTTCAAATTTTCCACACACTTTTGCTTTTTTAGCTTTCATAAGAATCTTTTTCTGACAATAACAAACACAACAAAAAATAATTAGCGAATTCGGTCCAGTCGTTCACGCGTAATAGCATAACCAAGTAAAATAGGATTTCTTTTGTATTAAATACTACACAGTTATTGTTTACATATAAGTTACCATTTCCAGCATATTTTATAATTTACTATATAACTGCCGAGTAGTTAATTAATACATACCTGTTGTATGCCTCCTCTGTCTGAGTACATGCGAGGCGGCGAGTGAAGCCCGCCGTGAATTTATCTCTTGTGGTGTGAGACGCCTCAATGCCGCCGCTAACTCCGCCGCACCAGGAGCACCTGGTACTCCCACGCCTGGCCCGCCACTGTATATAACAAAAAAATCAAATCATTATTATATTCACTTGTAATGACGCTTTTTATTTATTCTGACAGTATTCTAGATATAGTTGTCACGTTAGTATTACAGGATAGTATCATCTTTATAAGTCAAGTTTACTTATTTTATCATAAAAGCAAAGGGCTAACCTATCTATAAAACAAGTGTTATACAATATAAACTATTCGTCAACATGTAAAAAGTACAATTACACACTCGAAGCCTTTATTGTACCAACGGCTATCTATACTTCGAGCTACTTGCCCATTGCCACATTCCGGAGACGAACCAGTTTCGATGGTTCGTCTGCGTCATCTTATTTGATTCCCATGCCCATTTCATTGCCCACACAAAAACAATATCATCAAATCTAAAACAAGCAGTTAAAACTTTGTTTAATTGTTTATGTGTTATTACCAGAGGTCGGAATCAGGTAGAGTTATTTATGTACTTGCATCGAAATGTTGATATTAATGTGGACCTTCCCGGGATTTCTTTATTTCTTCTTTCTTTATTTCTTTCTTTCATTGATGTAAGTTTGGCAACGTCGTGCGTGCAGTAGTTTAAATTGTGTAAAAGTAAATAACTTTTTATTTAAAAATCACGGGATTTTTTCTGCTCTTTAAAATTAATCTCGGGATTTAAGGTATATCCACTTTATTCTTTCGCTGTATGAAATCAGTATAAGTACATGAATAACTCTACCTAATTCCGACCACTGGTTATTACACATATAAAATAATACAGCAAATTAACGTTTTTTTTTATGTCTAATTTTAAGTTGAATCTCATAAATTATATCGGCTTCAAACTAATTCTAGGAGAATTAAAAGATATTACCAATTTAATTCATTCTCTAACCTTAAATAAAACATATGTAAGATTAAAATATGTATACAATTTGTAAATCTACTTCATAATCTGTAAATTATCTTGTACTACTGACACAGAAAGCTAAAGATAAAATTGCACCTGACTGAAATGAATAAAGTATTATTTCCAATAAAATTTTATCTTTTTTGATTCTTTCTTGACATTGAATTTATTTTGAAATCGTCTATAATTACCATCGTTGTGCAAATTCACTATGACTTTCATGATAACATTTATTTCAATTTTAAAACGCAATAGGCCAGTTGCACAAACGTCTATTAAAAATGTCATTAGTTTAAAGTAACATTATCCATACAAATTTGACATTAATTAGAGCTTAACAGCGTCATTAAACACTAATGAACGTTTGTACAACCGCCCATATGTCACACCTGTACGATTTAATGACCAAAAATTCATTATAAATATTAGTTTTCAAATTTGTTATCCATTCTATTTTATAATCATAACTTCTTTCCCGCAACAGATACGGCGTAAATATATAAAATCCAAAATTTAGTGATTTTTTCTTTTATAACACATTTAACTACAAAACTACACTATGCTGGAGCTTGTCAAGGAGTTTTTTTGGATTGATAAAAACAAAATATAATATAATATAATCAATAGTCTCTCAAAAAAATATTATAGTAAAACTCACGGGTACAAATCATCTGATTCGACGTCAGATGTATCGTCGAAGAACGAGTCGCTGGGCGGTTTGGGCGGCGGTTTTATGAAGGTGGCGCTCGCACTAGCGGCACTGGGCGCGTCGATCACATCAGAACCGGATAACGACGCGCCGGACCAACGCGACGCGCATTGCACCGTCTCAAACACTTTCTGCATGCTTGAGCTAAAACATAATAATTTTCTTAATGAAAAATGCTTAAATAATCCACTTTGTCTCTGGTACTCTGAGATGGTTTGAAGAGTACTAGAAACCAGAGAGTAACAGGTATTGAATGGTCTATGAAAAACATTATCTCAAGATGCTCCGTACTTCGGAATGCATATTTAGTCGTTGATTTTAACATATGACACTAATCCGTTGCTCCGTTTTCACGTGAAACACGGACTTTCACATTGATAATATTAGTAAAAATAAAATATTATACTGATTGTGTGAGCGAGTCGGCAATACCGGAGTCGAGACTGAGCTCTGAGTATACGGATGAATGCATTTCTCTATTACATTTATAGAATATTGTTTTTTATAAGAATAATAATAGCATACAAACTTCCACCCCCTATTTTAGGGGGGTAGGGAATAGAAAGAGACAAAAGTACCCTATGTCACGCTTCACATAAAAAATCACACTTATCCGTCGCTTCGTTTTCACGTGAAATACGGACAAACAAACACACTTTCACACTGATAATATTAGTAAAAATACAATATTATACTGACTGTGCGAGCGGGTCGCCAATACCGGAGTCGAGACTGAGCTCCGAGTATACGGACGAGTGCATTTCTCTATGTAAACTGGCTGGTAGTAGACCAGCTGCCGCCGCCACGCTCGGCATGAGACCGCGTACTGGCTCGCCGCGCTTACGCAACTGGCGCAACTGCTCCTGGGCCTCCGCCAGGTGGGCTGTCACCTCGGCATAACGCTCCTGTAGTAACAAACGTAGATTAACGCTCCTGTAGATGGCTTGTGGGAATATAGAAAGAAGCTCGAAGATAAGCGCCGCGGCCCGCGATCGTTGTTGTTAAGCAACTTTCACAAGGGTCGGTCACGGGATGGGTAATCAAAAAATTATTATCTCGAGCTACTTCATGCTTCGGAAGGCACGTTAAGCCGTTGGTCCCGGCTGCATTTGCAGTCGTTAATACCCTCCACTCCACATGAACCATCCATAAGGAAGGCCTGAGCCCCTGCAATGGGGACGTAAAAGGGCTGATGATGATGATAGTGGGAATGAGAATTGTAAATAGGAACTAATTGATATATAATAAAATATAACAATAAATAACAGATAAAAAAAATCACAGCAAAGTGTGAGAAACGACAATTGACAAATAAAATGAAAAATCACAAGGAAGGAAGAACAAATTGTAAGAATATAAAACTACAAAAAATGGTGGTGCTTTCCAGGTAGTCGGCTACACTCTACATTAGAAATAGTTAAGATAGAATATACAGAATGCTGCAGGTCAGGTTGTCACAATATGTGAAACAATTGATTTTGACCTCTATCTTCAATCTATTATGGTTTAAAATTCTCTCAAACTCTCATATAACAGATATGATTTTTTGTCGCTCTTATAGATAATGCAACGGAACCCTTCGTGAACAAATCCGAGTCGCACTTGGCCAAGAGATATTATTACTACTTACCTTTGTATCAACCAACTCCGCCGCGAGAGCATTTTGATTTTCTTTTGTGATCTCTAAAATTCTTATAGTGTGTTCATGTTCCGCTGTTAGCTGTGAACAAATAAATGCACATAAATTATATGACGGCATATTGTGACTAACTAAAAACAATTAGTTAGGTCTTATATAAAAGTACACGACACATGTGGTGTCAACTTAAACCGTGCGTCTATAAAAAATGGTTTTAGAAAAGACAATGAAAATTTAATCTATATATTTTCAAGTGTCTGCATAATTATCCTTGAACCAAATGTTACTCTAATACTAATATCGTAATTATGTCTTTAAAACTCAAGTGTACTATGTCAGCTTGTTAAATCAATTAACAGCTAAAAATCTTTAAATGAAATATACAAAGTAGTCATGCCATATCCTACTTTTCATTTGGCAGTATATTACCACATATAGATAAAAAAGGAATTTAAATTAATGCTAATTTCTTTGTGAGTATTCATACAGATCTTATAAAGATAAATTTATATCAATTATAGACTAGGTTCGTATCATTGAAAATTATCAAAATGAAGATATCAATAAGCGCAATGCCACTTACTGATTCAACTACTGACTTATCATAAAAGCCGAGACAAAATTTAGACTTAATTGTTATTTTCTGATAGAAAATGGACTTAGATAATAATTTCCAAACAAAATTGATAAGAAACTGAAATCCCGTAAACTGTCACAACCGTCAGTACGCTAAGAGTTTTCTTAACAAACTCATTGATAATCTATGTAATCAGGTATCCAGCACAATATAGACGTCGGCGTCTTAAGTCACATTTTTTAATATTGTTTGAGTCCAATAATAAACACTACTTATCCACCCTACACGTCCACCCAAACGCCCATTAAAATTGACACCAAATTTTCAATTTTTGAACTTTCATTACATATTTACGACGTCATTAAATGTCAATGATTTGTGCGACTGGACCATAGGGTCTTGTTTGACAATCTGAGTTATGTCTATCTAATATACCTGTTGCAAATTTCTCTCTGTGACCAGGAGTCTTGAACAGGTGCTGTCAAGCTGATGCTGCAAATCTGCATTGCGCTGCCTCTCCTCCGCCAACTCTGACCCAAGCGCGTTCGCTTCTGAGTTAGCATTATCTACAAAAAAGTATATGCAAAATATATTTATATATTGTCACTTACAATAATAATGCTGATAAAATATAACACTACCAGCTGTTTTCTATGACATCCGCGTATGATGAGTTTCCCGTAGGTGACAGAATTTTTCAAATTGGTCCACTACCGAAAGCTTTCTTCTTAATAATATAGTAGTAGTATAGATGATTTCATAAGAGCTTTTTTATAATAATGAAAACATATACATAATTTTAAACATAATCATTGATCATTAGAGTAATTAGATTCTACCATTATCTTTACCAAACAGGAATAAAAAGAAAACAATGACAACGAGCACGATACATTAGTTGAGTTTACTTATTAAAATCAAGTAAGAATTTTCATATAATCTTCATACATTTTGGATAATAATACAGTTGATCATAGATATAATACTGATACTTACTCAGTAAACCTGTAACCGTCTAACACATTACCGTGTATAATAAATAACAAAATACAATTTATTATGAAACCTACTATACAAAGACAGGCAGAAAAAAAATCTGAATGATTTTTTTGTTCGTGAACTATTTAGACAATCACTTCCTCTTAGACCACTTAACGATAACATCTTTGAACAGTTGACACTAACAGCATATTGAAGTACTTCACAAAATAGATATTACCATTGATATAGCACATTAAATACCGTTGCGCAATATAACACAGAAAACATAAATATCAACGAAATTATTATCTATAAGCAACTAAATCTTATCGGACCTATTTACCTTTCATTATTTGCCGAAATTATACTTATAAAAAAGTACACATCACTCAAGTAATCATTGTAATAGCAGCATTGTTTTTTTATAACTTTAATTACAAGTATTTTACCATCAAAAACACATTTCGTAACAATTAAAAACCAATAGAAACAACAACATCATCCTAGATCTATTCTCAAACTAAGCTCAAGTTCAATATAAAATCATACAATTCACTTAAACATACCTACAGAACGTGTTCTGGTCAGCAATTCAGCATACATTTATTTTCCAACAATGAGTCATGTTTTATTTAGACGCCACATAATCGTATGAATATTTTTAGTGATGTCGAAAAATTCTTCGGTATCTTGTAATCTTCTATCGGCCGATGGAAATAGGTAATTTGAAACAAGTATGGTCTGACAGGGTGCAAACCTTAAAGAGAAAACACGCTGCAAGGCCACCTTGATCCACTTTACCTATGTGTGCAGTAATATCTTCTTACAATTCCCATCTTGTTTCGGTAGTAAAGTCTTGCGTAAATTATAATTTACCACAAAAAGGTTTTAAGTTATTTATATTCCATAGATACGTTTAATTAGTTATTGAATATACTCGTATTATAAGAAAGTGGTTAATAACTTAATTGTTCGTTTGGAGAAAAGAGAATTCTTTCATTAAAGACAAGAATGAGTGAGTCAGTCATGTGGAAAATTGACAAGTAAATAAAGATTGGTAGCTAACCGAAACTGTCTATACAGGTAGGAATATTTGAGTAACCACACATTTTAATATGTTTGTTACTAATGTATTTAAGCCATACACAATGTAACATAATATCATTGTATAATATGTATCTAAAACCTATTAAATCGTTAGGATAATTGCCGATTTACCAGTTGATGTTTCGGTTATAAGTCGATTATTCAAGATAAGTGAATTTAAATAAAGTTATTACCTGATAACTGGTACTGTATGCGTGCCACACACACACAAATAACTTATCATAATTGTAAATTATTGTTTACATTCTATTTAATATCACAATACACATAATTTTTCTTTGATGTTACCGCAAAAAGTGATTGGATAAAAAAAAAACAATATGTCAACATGCAACATTAATTTCTGAGTAACAAGATGACTTTTATAATCCGGACAGGCTCACGCCGAGAAGTGTCGCCGAGCCTTACCGAGAAGAAATATAAACAAATGAGAAGGCGAGAAACATATCACATTCACGAGCCTCGGGTGTTCTCGGGGCTTCTAAGCGTGAGTTTGACCGGCTTATTATTAAATACTATTTTTGAAAAGGGAACGGTAAAATAAAGACAAATGTTGATACCAAAAAGACACAATAAAACAGTAATCATGTGCTGAGTTTGCACTGATCCGCTCAAGACTCTCGCGGTAACCCGTACTCCCTGTATTAATGTATTACTTATTCATATAATGGTCACGTCAACACTCTGTTGTTATACTAAATAATGTACTCACTGAGTTGCAGCGCAATATCTCGTAACAGCTGCTGTTCCGCCAGCTCGGCGCTGTCAGCGCCGGCTGCGAGTCGCGCAGCCTCCTCACGCAAGGAGCGGTTCTCGCGCTCCAGCGCGCCGGTGCGCTTGCGCAACGCTGCTGCAGTAGCCGCCTCTTGCTCCGTCGGTGAGATTTCCACTTCTGTGTCATTTGTTAAAACCTGCACGCGAACACAACGTTATCGGGCATCTAGTTCAATCTTTACAGTATTTTTTTACAGTTCGATATCTTAATTCGACCTTCAAGGAAGGTCGCCAATGCCGCCGTAATTATTTTTTAATCACTTAAAAGGCAGAAAAACTATTAAGAAGTGTTAGCTGTTTTTCTATTGGATTAGATAATACTACCCAAAGACCTATTACTATGCATTGTAGATTCTCGAGATCTCACGCTCCTCGTTTTTCCATGTGTTTATTTGTGGCATAATATTCTCAATTGTAATAATTTTGTGTATTTCATTTACGATACTATTAACACGACTTATTTCGATGGTCTATAAAACTAAAAATATTAACTATTTCAATAATTTTTCTCTCAAGAAATTTCCATAACATAGTCGACGTGCCTTTTGGAACCTTATTAATTTTATTAATAGTAATAACCTGCAGTAGATCCGATTTGGCGGTAAGCTCGTGTCTTAGTTGGGTGATGAGATCGCGCGCGCTCTTCAGATCACCTTCGAGAGATGTGACTCGCGCCTCTAACCGGCCATTAGTTGTCAGTAACTCTTTACCGATGCGAGCTGTCAACTCCAAATCTTTCTCTTTCTGTAAACAAATATGACGTGTATATGAAATGCATCTTAAGCAGACAAGCCCTTTTTTGTTAAGCGCATTATTCAAATTCATTTTACATGCAAATTAAACTTAAATAAGAGTTAATGATTTCTAGATGAATTCTACTTTATTACAACTAGAAGTAATATTGTAAAGACTGACAAAGCCTCCATGGCTTTATAAATTCACGAGTAAATAAGTCAAATTGAAAAGCAACTTACTTCTTCTAAGAGCCGTGTTACCGCTTCGATGTCATTGTAGGTTTTTGTCATTTGGCTCACCCTGTTGCTGCATAGAACTGCAACCAGAAGAAACTCTGTATAATACTACGATGAACTAACTGTACGAATTTCACAGAAGATATACAATTCATCGACAACGTGTTGAACTTTAGACAACAACAACCATTTTCAACTGACCAAAAGCAACAACGAATGCTCAATAAACGGTTGGTAAACGACATGATCACAACAATCGATATTTACAAACTTACTATTGCATCAATAAAATTCCTTTATGAATATGCTACAATGAAACATTAGCAATCATTTTATCTATAACTCGTACGAATTAACATGACATCTGATGACCTATTCTATTTGTCTTCGAATGTACATTTGGCAAATTATAATTTTATTAAAATCATCAGTGCATCATATTCTTTGGAGTCGTGTTAGCATTTCAAAAATAAACGAAATTCGTTTCCGAACTTCGAATATACTTTCTATATTATATTAATAAAATAGGCCTTCAGGTGTCATTCTAACTATATACATAAAAATACATTATTATTACTATTTTTTTAACCAACCAACTTAATGACATATTGAAACCAAATATATATAGGCTACTGTAACCACCTGAAACTGAATACCTGGCCAATCGAAACGAGGTTAATATCTTATAAGCCGTACCTTGCGGGTAGCTGTGATTGTTTGGGTGTTTTCTATGACAGTGCAAGCGATACAGTATTGCGGCCGAGATAAGAAAATTCTAATAATATGTATAATCATTCTATCTATCTATGTCGCTCTGACTTTAATACCTCTTTGAAGGGCGTTCCATATTTGAGCAGGATAAAATATTTAAATACGAAAGTCTACGATTTTCATTAGCTCAATAGATTTAAAATAGGAAATTCATAAGAACTTTTGAAGAGCTTCTAAAAGGTTTGAAACTCTTGAACTTATACAGATTGAACCAGTTTTAGGTAAAAATTTTGCTTTTTTTTTTTTGTTTGATTTTTTATTAAAGTAAATATGTATAATATACTAAAAAAAATACTTTTATAGGGCACATTTTTACTTAGTATATTTTTTATATCTTTTATTTAATCAATATGTTTAGCTCTTACTATTATCACTCCATGATCATATAATATAGTTTAATTTTAATAATTTAGACTGTTTTCATCTTCCATACCTGAAGACTGGGTAAAAGACATCATTTCAGTCACATCACTATAATTATCCGTTTCATTAGTTCATATTACAAATGTCCTTGCAATATTAATAAACATAACCACTTCTAAATCAGTTTTATTTTCAACGTTTGATTTTGATATTTTCGTAGCAGATACTACGGCTCGTAAAAAATATATACATACAAATCTGTTTTAAACTTTTTCACTTCATGAAACGATCACAATAGACACGACACAATGGACCGCTGATAAATTCAATAATAAATACTTCAGAACTGGCGAATCATTGTCGCAAAACAGCGTGTAAGTGACGCGCACTCAACTGTGAAGACCGACTCTAGTACTCGACAAATTGCCGGTTCCTACACAGCTGATAAGATACGGTAATCGTGCTTTAAGCGGTTCGTGTGCTCGTGTTTACATCTAGTAAATCTAGTACTGACCCGGAGCACTGGCGTCCGCCTCTGACGTTTGAGCGTTCATCGAACTTCTATTGAGCGGGCAGACTATAACCGTAACATAATAGTAAGCGATTCGAGGAACGATGCAACCCGCTACCAGTTGTATCAACAAAACAAGCCTGGCGACAAACACTGGTGCTGGGAGCCCGGACGAACAAGCGACTGGCTAACATACAACATACGCACCTACTACTCCTCATTTCATTTCACTCGCGGAGGGCGAGCAAAACAATCTATTCCATTGTACACATATGTGGGAAACTACAGACACAAAAGACAATTATTTCAACCGTTTGTTTACCGATGAATAGACACATTTTCATCGTAGACATTATTTTATCATGAGCTATATTAATAGACGGCCTTCTAGAGTCGTCTGTAAGTCGTATCAAAGTTATCTACGTAATCTGTTGATAGTCCCTCTAATTTAACGGTTTTAATGTAAATTAAGAAATAAGGCTACTTCAGAATTCCTTGACCGGATTTGTAATGATAGATTTGACTGATCGATTTTTACATAAAATGGCAAAGGAGAAATGCTTTGAATTATAAAAGTATCGTAATAAAAATGTGAGAACAGTGAATAGCTCTGATAACACAATACGTTACATGGGAGTATTTCCCATTCTTACCTAACACCGTGGTTACAACGGATATCGATTGTGTTCATGTTCTCCGTGTGTGTAACACGGAGTTTAAAAGGTTTCACATTTTTTGCTAAGTTTATGTTCCGTGTATATGATGCGATGATCGTAACTTACAGTAATTATTAAATATTTACTGTTAACACAACAATGGGAAACTTGTAATCAATTTTCTAAGATATCTTACAAAAAATATCATCAAATCAAATAACATGAAACATGAGTGTTGGGTTACTAACTAAATTATATAAAATATAAGAGATTAGTCTTACAGTCTCCTGTGAAATTAATTGTAGATAAAATTAAGACATTTGTTAGTCAAAGTTGAAATATAAGTGATCAAAGTTAAATAGTGAATACCTGTTGTATAGAAATAGTAAGCATTGCAAAGGCTGATGAAATGATTGCTGAGGGAAACAGTAACAATGGAAGCGAAATGATCTGGCAGCAGAGTGTAGCGAGCGATATATGATCCAACGTCGAAACCTAAGCGATCGTGTCGTACCTCTATTAAGGAGCAAGGTCCGGACGACACGAAAATAGAGTCTCCCGAATCTGTCCCTGGCCACGTGGTAGAGGAAGTCGGGATACTCGCCGAGGCACTCGCGTAGGTCCGCGTCGGGGAGGTAGCTCAACTCCTGGAAGAGCTCGCGATCGAAGCCGGGCGGCGGTGAGGCGCGCGACCCGCTCGCGCACCTCTCGCCCGAACCCGTATAGCGCTCCGCCGTGACGCGTCTGAACCGCAACCATCAGCACCACCCGTCTCACAACACCCCAAGACACTCTTTCTTGGCACAACAACACAAACTCAGCACATTACCACTAGTCCATCTTTTATTTCCAATGTCTTCGTCGCGCCGTAAAAATTTTCGAATTCATTTTACACAAATCTGTAAATATTTATTTATCTTCGTGCAACTTCGGCAACCTGCAGACACGTGCTAACCTTGTATTCGACAACACGAGTTTGGCCAGGGAATAAGCGGAAAGTTGACTTTCAAAATGAAGGCGGCCTGCTTCACTAGATTGTTTCAAAAGCAATTAGCGAAACAGTGTGTAACCCATCACGTGGAATGGAAATTAGTGGCAAAAATGTAATGAATAGAGCGTTAATATTGATTACGTGTAAATGAGGGCAGAGACAGACGCGCCCAATGTTACGCCCACGCTTAACGAGATTCGAGTAACCCGATAGTATATTTTTATTTTCCGCAATCTGTCATAGCTTGTCTAACCTTGTAATTTCAAATTTCCATATATTCATGAAAAGAAGAACGTAATTCAATCAAAGAAATCACAAACTATCGGAAATTCGCTATAGGAAGTAAGTAACGTAGCTGAAGCTGGAAAAAATTCTCCGCAACGGTGCACAATTCAATACACAATTAAGCACTAAAGTTGGAACTGCTTTTTGAACACTAACGCCGGGTACATTGTTTTTTGTAAAATAACCATCTACTTTCTTTAAATTATATTTTAAGACTATGTAACGTTAGTGTATAACTACTTGTACGAATACTTATTTGTTTTTACCTAACATTTCTTCAAACAAATCTCCGTTGAATCAGCGTTATTATTATAAAACTGCCCCGTCTCTACCTATACTTTATGTTTTAAGGATAAACTTTACTAGACGGATTTTATATATTTTTTTACCTACGTGAAACTACGTCATATGCGGATGTACAAAGGCTATAATTTTGATATGAAACACAAACAGTGACTCTATTTTCATAACATGATAAGGTCAAAAACTATTCTGATAGATTTTCATGTGGTTTCATCGACAGACGAAGTACCAATCTGTCAAATTTACCCATTTAATTTTAAAACCAAAATATTTAAAGGTATAATTTAAAATCAACTGCATTTTGACATATTGTGGTAAACTGAGCTGCAACCTTTTTTGCGTAAGTTAAAAAAGGATTTTATTTATAAGCATTGTTCCCCGTTCGCATGATATTGAGTTATTATGAACTGAAGAACATTATTATGACAAAAAGATATTTTCTCGTATATGGAAACCCGGTCACTTATCCGCTTCTTTCCCTTCTCTTAAGTCTTATTGGACCTATTGTCAACTTAAAAAAGGAAAGCAAAATCGATTCTACATTTTAGATACACATCATAGATTAACATTTAACTATAATGCAATAAATAAGTCGTTAATATTGTGCAAAATAACTTTACAAAAAGTTATCCAAAGAGTTCAATTCCACTATTATATATATTACCAGTCGGTTTTTAAGGTAACGACAAAATCATTACTTTTCGCATTTATTATTTTCCTTGCATATAACAATTGGAAATTGATTTCGTTTAAAAATATTTCGTGTGACAAATAACGGACATTTATTTCAACTGCAATCTTTTTTAGATTTTTGCGATTTCCGCAATCACAGTTCGTTTCAAAACTTTGGAAAATGGAAAATATGGCTAAGAGAGATTCAAACTCGAAATTAAAATTTAGAAAATAATAGAAATATTATATTTAAAATATCATAGACGTCTTATAGATTTTTCTGACTACAGACTACAGAACTATTTTCTTGTTTTAGAGATCAGGATTTTTGTAGTGATCAATTTTCATATATATTTTAAAATAACTTTAAAATCATATTTTAATATTTATATTATTTATCTAAAACATATTTAAAAAAATATGAAAAATTAAGACCCTCAAAATAAACCCGTTTTTTCTTTTTTGGTTCGGAATCCTATGAATGTCAATAATCAATTATTCATAATTTTTATCTTCTTTAGTTAAACA